CTGTTTACCAGTGTAAAATAACAGTAAACCGCTGCCGGACTGAACACTCGGCTGAGGAAATGCAGTAATAAACACTTTTTCATTGTACATTTGTCAACAGATCTGCCTGATTCTGTATTAAAGATCAAACTGAAGCATTAATGATGCTGCTGTAGATTCAGATCACGCGGATCACATCAGGAGAGTTCACACTGATCACAGCCAGCCTTCAACATCTGATTACTTCAGTGTTTTACATTATAGATTTTACAAAACATCGAAACATTTAAATAAATAAATATAATACAGATTACCTTTATTAATATATTTGACCGTGTTTAATGATTCAACAGCTATTCTGAAAGCAGCGCCACCATCAATAATGTGCCTCACATCGAGAGGACATCTCCATGCTCTGATATTTCACCAAAAGCTGCTGAACACACAGATTTACAACATCTTTTACAGCACATTAGATGAATAACTCATTTCTTTCTCTAACGCTGCAGCATTGTAATGATCGATGGTTCGTGGAACAGTAATCACTCCTGAAGGGGGCTAATACTATTGACCACAGCAGATTTGACTTTAACAAACGTTTTGCAGCAAAACTAAAATAAAAATGTAATAAGAAACGCTGTCAAACATGTCATCATCACTCTGCTATTCATTTGGGAATCAACACATGTAATCCTTTAATTTCCCCGAGGTCTTTAACTGATCTAGTGTTTACTGTAAACGTGTATCGTCTCATTTCAACATCTGATGTGAGCTGAAGACCACAGTGAGAACATGTCTGTGTGTAAAGACTGAGCTGCAGCGTTTGAGTGTGTTTACAGCGCTAATCCTCTAATGATGATGAGATATTGATTATTGATCAGTGTGTGAGTCCTGCTGCTGCTCTTCTGACACTCAGTTCCCTGAAATGATCATGATGATGATGATGATGATGATGATGATGATGATGATGATGTTTGTGGAGCTCCCGTTTCCGAGCGCCTCGTCATTTAATTCACGGCACTATTTAACAGCGTACACCCACTGAACAACAACACAACATTCCACAACATCAGCACAACACACACACACACACACACACACACACACACACACTCACACACTCAATAACATGAGTGACGCTGCATTGAGGCCTTCATGGAAAAACACCACAATCACAACAGTAACACAACAAACACAGCCCTGCGCAAGACTATAAACACACACATACACACACACACACACACACACACGCACACACACACACACACACACACACACACACACACACACACACACACTACATCTGTCTTCAAGGAAACACAACAAGATCACAACATTACACAACAAACACTTCACAAACACACACAATATACATAACGCACACACACACACAAACACACACACACATAATTATTATACTCGCTTAAAACCCTTCACACACACACACCAACTTAATATACACATCAAATACACACATACACACTTTCTCAATATACACAACACAGACTTAAAATACAGATCAAATACACACACTCTCCCTTGATATACTCGTCACACACACTTAAAATACTCATTAAACACACACACACACACACACACTTGATACGCACTGTTAATATACGTAACACACACATTATTATATATAACACACACTCAATATACACACATACACAAACTCTTATTATACCAATCCCACACACACATTACACAAACATCACACACACACACCAAATACACACACACACCAAATAAACAGACATACTATTATACACATACACAATCAACACACACTCTCTCGATATACAAACATCACACACATTCAATATACACGTCAAATACACACACACACCTAACAAACATGCACACAGACGCACTATTTTACACATACACAATCAACATACACACACTCAATATACACATCAAATACGAACATCACACACACTTAATATATGCAACACATTATTGTAGAGATATAAACGCTCAACACACACACATATACACACACACGCACGCACACACACACACACACACACACTAGGCACGAGACCATGTTTAAGGTGTAGCGTGGTTTGGAAAAGTCAAGATTTTAAACCGTCTACATTCTCCTCTATCAGGCGTGTGTGTGTGTGTGTGTGTGTGTGTGTGTGTGTGTGTGTGAGTGTGAGATGTTTGATTGACTGATTGTCCAGCTTTTAGGACAGCAGCACCTCCAGCAGAGAAGATCTCCAGCATGCTGCTTCAATAGTGAAGGAATCTGTATCTGAATGTGATTCTGACAGCAGCCGGACCGGTTCACTGCTCTAAACTAGTATGAACGTTTCTCCACATTAAATATACTGTTCACCGGGGAACAGAGCTTCAGGTGTTCAGGCTGTCCGGCGGCTGCTGCTGCGGGTCTGAAACACTTTCCCTCAGCAGGTCATCACTTACTCTAACTGTCCCTGTAGAGCTCCAGTACAGCCAACAATCATCTAAAACTAACCCTTTCACAAAACCAGCCTCTTCAGCATTCTGCTGTAATATTCTCCTGACCGTGACAGTAGTGCAGAGTTCTCCATGTTCGCTGTGTGATGCACGTCTTTATGTTGAGCAGATATTGATGATGATCAGTCGAGCTTCACACTCTGATGGTCTTTACTTTAATCATGTTTATGTATTCATGAGAAATATTAGGATTTTCAGAAGACTTTTAGATCAGTGTCTCGTCGAGAGTCGATTAAATAAATGACACAAACAAAATGTTTTTATTTAACATATTTATATCAGTTAAAGCTGCGTTTACCCTCAGAATCAATAATAAGCTTGATTTACAGCTCACAATCCTGAAGATATTTTACTGAACATCAGAAATCAAAAACACTTTAATAATGTTCTTCATGTTGTGCATTAATTTAGTTTATTTTAGCTTTTAAACTGGCCTTCTTAAAGAAAGTGTGTGCTGATAATATATAGAGGAATATCAGCAGAGACCGCCTGCTATAACGCAATATTGAACATGAGGCTGACAAAGAGCTGAAATTCAATTACAATTGGCTGAGCAAAAACAAAATACAAATACACACACACACACACTCTCCCTCACAACTCACACACACACACACACACACTCTCTGTTTCTCCGTGATTCACTTGAACAGAATCAGTGACTCAGTTTCAGCACAAACATCACCAACAGTTTCCACTTTACTAGATCTACAGTAATGTGTGTGTGTGTGTGTGTGTGCGTATTTCATGTGAATATTGTTTGTGTATTTAATGTGTATTTTGAGTGCGTGTTTGATGTGTATATTGTGTCTGTGTGTGTGTTTGTTTATGTGTTTTGATGTGTGTGTGAGTGTGTGTGTCAAAATAGATGAAACATGAAGCCTGAAAGTGTGTGTTCTTCTGCTTTGTGACATATCTCTTTCTAAAACACACACACACACACACACACACACACACACACACACAGTAGCAGCAGCAGAAAGTGTTTGATTTTCCTCTCGAGCGCAGAAATAAATGCTGTTTGAGGAAGCAGAAGATTCAGCGCTTACGAGAAACTAGAAACACACTCCAAATAAACCCAAAGCAGAGACACACACACACACACACACACATTGAAGTGAGTTCTGCTCGTCAGATGATTATACACACTCAGATATTATTGATCCATCCAGCAGTTTTAGGAGTGATGATGATGATGATGAAGAACAGAGCAGAATTGTAGAACACTTCACCATCCATATCACTGTGTGTGTGTGTGTGTGTGTGTGTGTGTGTGTGTGTGTGTGCGCAATAGTCACATGAGTTGGGATGAATAACACACGTGTGACTTTACTGAACAATAATCAATACAGCGGTTATGAATACAGTGAAGACGGCACCGTTATGACTACATTACTGTCTCGCAATAGTGTCTGACTCCACAAAGAGCTGCTCTTCACTTTACTGTGCTCTATTGTCATCATTCCTGCAGTTCTGTCATCACACACACACACACACACACACGATCACAGCCCAAATCCGTGATCTCCACATATAGAGCTGCTCCAGCCGAGCGGGGACATGTTCACATCACAGACCAGATACACACCACCATGATGAATATGTGAATACACACTAGTCAAATATTTACACACACAAACTCATACTCACACAAACACACATGTACATACAGAGGTCAGAGGTCAAGCCGGACACCATCGGCCCTTTCTCACTCTGTCTACTGTGTGTGTGTGTGTTTGGGTGTGTGTGTGTTTGTGTGAGAGAGTGTGAGGATGACAAAGATGGCGTTTCTTCAACTCCAGACACACAGAAGCGGATGAGCGGGTTCCTGATATCAACACACACACACACACACACACACACACACTTACCGGACACCGGCATGGTGCTCAGCAGGATGAGATT